GGGTGCTCCCGTGCACAGTGGGTGCTCCCGTGCACAACAGTGCTCCCGTGCACAGCAGTGCTCCCATGCACAGCGGGTGCTCCCATGCACAGCAGTGCTCCCGTGCACAGTGGGTGCTCCCATGCTCAACGGGTGCTCCCGTGATCATCGGGATGCCCTAGCTTGCAGCCGCGCACCCGTGCCCGCTCCGGTGCATGGCAGGACGCGCAGACAGGAGCCTGCAGCGGCGTCGGCGCTTGCTGCACGGCTGCACATGCACCTCGGCATGCAGCCAAGGCCCCCGAAACTCCTCAGCACCCACGTTTGCTTCCCCGGGAGCGGGAAGTGAAAGCGCCTCGCGGAACGCCCCGAGCGCGGGCGGCACCTCCCGTGGGCCCTGCTCCCACGCACAGACCCGGGGCCTTCGCGCCCCCGTCCTCCTCCTCCTCGGCGCACAAGCAACCCCGGCGCCGGGCTTAATTCCCAGCTCCACGGATTGGGATGGGGATTTGCTCCAAGCGCCCGCTCTGCTCCGGCCGCTCCGGTGCCCCCTGAGGGAGCCCCGGAATCCCGAGGGATGGGGAGGAAATTGCAGGATGCCGAGGGAGCCCCGGAATCTCCAGGGATGAGGAGGAAATCTCAGGATGTCGAGGGCGCCAGTCCCAAAATCCCGAGGGATGGGGAGGAAATCCCAGGATGCCGAGGGAACCCCGGAAGCCATGGGAATGGAGAGGAAATTGCAGGATGCCAAGGGAGCCTCAGAATTCCGAGGAATGGAGAGGAAATCACAGGAGGCCGAGGGAGCCCCAAAATCCCCAGGGATGGGGAGGAAATCCCATGAGCCCCGAAATCCCTGGGAATGGGGAGGAAATCGCAGGAGGCTGAGGGAGCCCCAGAATCCATGGGAATGGGGAGGAAATCCCAGGATGCCGAGGGCGCCAGTCCCCAAATCCCGAGGGATCGGGAGGAAATCGCAGGATGCCAAGGGCACCAGTCCCCAAATCCTGAGGGATGGAGAGGAAATCCCAGGAGCCCTGAAATCCCTGGGAATGAGGAGGAAATCCCAGGATGCCGAGGGCGCCAGTCCCCAAATCCCAAGGGATGGGGAGGAAATCCCGGCACTCACGTGACGCCTCCGGAGCGGCCCGGCCATCGCGGTCCCCCCCGGGTGCCCGCGCGCTCCTTCGGCCGATCCACAGAGCCGAGCGCGCTTCCCGGCGGGATCCGCACGGAGCAGGGCCGGGGGGGGGGAGCTCCGTGCGCTTCCGCGTGGGAATCGGGCACCACGCGCCCGGAGCCGCTGCGGGGCCGGGAAGGGCGGCTCGCAAATCCCGGGATTGCGGCTCGCGGAGACGGGAGCCGAGGAAAAGGCGGAAAAAAAAGAAGTAAAAACCCCGGGATTTTCCCCGAGCCACTTTGTTCTGCTCTCCCCATCCGGCTTTTCCCAAGGCGCCGGGCGGGAAGGAGAGGCGGCCGCCGTGGGAGGCTCCGCGGGGCCGGTTTCCCGGGAATAACCGGCCCCTGGGCCCGCAGGCGCCGTTCCCGGCGGCCGTTCCCGTGCCAGGCATTCCCGCGCGGCGCTGGCACCGCTGCCCCTTTTCCATGCCCGGCCTCCCCTGCAAATGCCAACCCGGAGCATTCCCGGCCTCTTCCCGGGGAGCCGCGGCCTTTCCCGCGGCGCGGAGGAGCCGGAATGGGGGGGATCCCTGGGGATCTCCCTACCTGGAGCTGCATCCCGGGCATCCCGGAGCCGGCTCTGCTCCAAGGCACCCCGAAAGCGGCGGCACCCCCACGGTGTCCCCGCCGTCTCTGCGCCTGCGCCCGCATTAACTGGCCTATTAATTGGGTGCTATTTACGGGATGCCCTGGGAGCGCYGGGAAGGACGGAAGGAGGACAGGGACGATGCTCCGGAGTCCGAATGGGATGCGCGGAGCTGGAGCAAGAGGGAAAAATCCTTCCCGGAATGACGCGAATGGAGCGTCTTGCTGCCCGTGCGCCCGGCACCCCTTGGCATCACCCCCCGCATCCCTCCGACATCCCGCCTGGCATTCCCTACAGCATCACCCCAGCAGCCTCCCAACATTCCCAACATTCCCCGGCATTCCCAACATTCCCCGGCATTCCCTGCACGTCCCCAGGGCCTCGGTTGCTCCTCCGCTTGGCGGCACAACCCTTATCAGCCACCAGAGAAGCGCCGAGCTCGCCACGGCAGGGCTGAGAGCGGGCAACTCGTGTCACCCAAGCCCCCGTGGCTGTCGGCACCCGCGGGATCCCGGGATCCCATCCGCAGGGATGCAGAGGCCGAGGCGGCTCCGTCGACGCCGTTTATTCCTGAACAGTCCTGCCCGGAGCAGGGCAGCCCCCGCGCCGGGAGCGGCTCCCGCGCCGGAGCCAAGGCCTCGAATTCCAGTGGGGAAAGGGCTGGGAGGAGGCCGGGATATCCGTCCCCCCAGCCGCGAGCCGCTGCTCCCGCCATTCCCGGCTGGAAAAGCTCAGTCCTGCTGCAGCGGGAGGTGGGAAAAGCGGGAGGCGAGAGCGGGGAGCCACGTGGGAGCTGCAGCGACCCCCCTTCCTCCTCCTCCTCCTCCTCTTCCTCGCTGCCAAGGCTCAAGGGCACTTGGGGTTCACTACCGAAACGGGACCCTAGGGTGCTGTCCCGCTGGGTGCATGCAGCCCCCAGGGACACCCGTTCCCGTGGTGCATCCTATGGGATGCATGCAGCCCCCATGGACACCCATTCCCGCGGTGCATCCATACAGGCTGCATGCAGCCCCATGGACACCCATTCCCATGGTGCATCCATACAGGCTGCATGCAGCCCCCATGGACACCCATTCCCATGGTGCATCCATACAGGGTGCATGCAGCCCCATGGACACCCATTCCCGTGGTGCATCCTTTGGGGTGCATGCAGCCCCCATGGACACCCATTCCCATGGTGCATCTATCYGGGGTGCATGCAGCCACCCATTCCCACGGTGCAGCCCCATGAGGTGCATGCAGCCCTGGGTGCACCCTGTCCCTGCAGTACCTCCCCATGGGGTGCATGCAGCCCTCCAGGGTCACCCATTTCTGTGGTGCATCCCTATAGGGTGTATGCAACCCTTGGGAGCACCCCAGCCTCACAGTGCATCCCCACTGGGTGCATGCAGCTCCCTGGGTCACCTATTCCTGCAATGCATCCCCACGGGGTGCATGCAGCCCGCCAGGATCACCCATTCTTGCAATGCATCCCCATGGGGTGCAGGCAGACTATCAGAGCCACCCATTCCTGTGGTGCATCCCCACAGGGTGCATGCAGCCCAGGGTGCACCCCAGCCCCGCGGTGCATTTGCATGGGGTGCAATGCATGCCCATGGGGTGCACGCAGCCCCAGCTCACCCACCCCTGCAGCGCATCCCCACGGGGTGCATGCAGCCCAGGGTGCACCTCAGCCCCCTGGAGCATTTGCATGGGGTGCAATGCATGCCCACGGGGTGCA